CTCACGCTGCATCAACCACCAACTCGTGATCAGGCGTGGCGGCCGCACCAGCCACCTGCGCCCAATCCCACCTCCGGTATTCTTGACCCTGTCTTGACACCGGGCTCGAACGGCTGAAGGAAGAAAGAGTGTGGTAGATGCAACGCAAGTCTACTATCACTTTAGTTCATGCGCGGCTCGCCGTCTCTGCACCGCCACGATGTGGAGCACACGGTGGACATCATCGGAATCGGCTTTTGAAGTATCGGGAGTCTCTGTCTCTGTGCTTCTAACACTGGAGCTATTGGCATGAGTATCCCGGTGGTAGAGCAATTGGCAAAGAAAACGAAAGTATAAACCTGGATACCTACCGGATTGTAAGGTTCAGTGTCCCGTAGAATGCAAGACATGGGGACGCGATGTCCACATCCCACCCACTGATGGGTTTGCCAGCGTAGAAGTACGAGCCCGGCAATCAGATCAGAGGCTACCATGTTCGTCTAAAAAGAGGTAGAACACAAAAGGACGCCGTTTGGTAAGGTTATAAAGGGTGGGCAGACACACAGGAAAGCCGTATACAGTCGGAAAGTTGCCAAAACATGCGTCTATGCTTATAGATAGTAAAGTAAACCGGGGATGGAAAAAACCATGTCATGAGTCTTAACTTTTGTCGGCGGCCTGGTAAGACAGTAACGATGACACCATCCGGTCCAGTGGAGGGCATGGTTCACAGAGTGGATTATTTTACGAAAGGTATTTTGGATAAAGACGACGTTTTTTGATTCCTCGCTGTTAGAATGGCGAATACTGCTCAGTCGGGAGGGCTCTCCAGACGCATTCGACTGTAACAGGAAGTATCGCAGACCTCCAAAATTCCTATCAACTGAGATACCTCCCATACATCACTTTAGGCCGAATAAAGAGGCAGTTGGTAAGCGTAAGTTCGACAGGACGCCGGAATGATGCCACCGATTAGTGAAAATGCTTACGAGTTGAGCAGGCTGCAGACTGCCTAGTAAGGAATACAGTTCTCTGTGGACCAAGTGTTTTGATCGCACGGCAACCAAATTAAACACAAATGATAGAATAGTATCCAGCATAACTGAGCTATCAGTACCTTACCACTTTATAAACGGGGTTGACAAGGAGACAAACGTCGGACTACACTGCCTTTTCTTGTTTTACTGGCGAGACTGAGTCGGCCGCCGTGACTGACCGGTTATTTGGCCTGTGTCTCTAGGGTGCCAGTTCACCAGAAAACCTGTCGGATAGTCAAATGTGTAGCGCTGATTTACGTCGGATAGCGCTGCAACTAAACGATGGAGTCTAGGAGGCGTTGTGCACAAAGTAATAAAACCGATTCTGGCAAGATGGTTGCAACAATTGGTCACCTACTGTAGTACGAAGGGGATGAATGACGGGAGTCCTAGGCGTTCAAACGTGAGGCGAGACTGCAAATGGTAACGGCTGAGCAAGAAAGTTTTCTCGTCAAGTTCGTTTAGGCAAGGTGACGAAAAAAACTTGAACTCCAATCGAACGGTTCGAAGACTTTCGTGGTAGGTGGAAGGCGGCGGGGCCCACTAGCATCTTCAGTAGCAGTTTTGTTTCTATGAGTCAGCTGAACGATTTGCTATTCACTTCTCCGCTTGCCGCTTGCCGCCTGATGCTGAAGATGACTTCATAGGACTTGATGAAATACGCAATCCCTGGCACTGATCTACTCCTGGGCCGCAACTGATGCCGAGACAGGAAGCAGTAACATGCAGTGCTTCACTTCATGTCCACTCTTGCAGGCTAGGTTAAGTTCAGAAGAAGAAAACGCGACCACTGGAACAAGAGTCTCATTGTTCTGACGTTTCGGATTCCGCCGGGAATCCCTAATCATAGGTAATGGTACGATAGTCTGAGTCATGCGCAGATAGGGCAGACAGGTGAAGTACTGATATAAAAAAGTAAATTACTCTAAACTCGCGTCGAGAAAGTTGTGCACACTTACTTGCCATTGGCTAGGGCTAAAGGCCACAAAGTCGCAACAGAAAACGGTTCGTGTGGACAAACAATCAACTGAACCTTAAATCCTTAATTGCAGTGGATTAAATGGGAACTGTGCAGTGTAGGTGATGACAGCCCTCTCCCAGCAATAAAAACACAAACCTGGCTCTGAGCTAAACGGGAGTTTTCTGAGTGTTTCGATAATTCCAAAAATCCACGACGATCTAAACGCGCTATTAAATTCTCGCAACAATAACGCTCCTGGCCCCTCGTACTAAAAGCCTCACGGTGCGCATCCTTTATCAGTACAACGTAGATGTCTGCTGCCTCTTCGCAGTCGGAATTCCTGACTCGGGCGCTCAGAAAATAAAGGTTCCTGGAGCTGACACCTACTTCACCTTATACTACAGTGGCCCACATGACTCCTCCGGTAGACATGGTGTAGCAATCGCCCTCCCACAACAAGCGAGCCGTGCACTACTTGCCTGGGAACCAGTCAACGAACGCGTGGCTTATATGCGCTTGAAGGGCCACTTCACAAACATACCTGTCGTCGCGTTATATGCACCAACCTCGGCTGCTGACCAGCGCGGTAAAGAAATGTTTTACTCACAGCTTCAAACTTTGGTTGAAAGGCTCCCTCGCCGCGATCTGCTGGTTATCGCGGAGTACTGGAATGGGAGGACCAAGCCTGTTGACTCCACAAACAGCCATATTATCGGCCACTTTGGGCTTGGCTCTCGGTGTAAGAATGGTGACAGATTGCTGAACTTTGCTGAACGGAACCGACTGCTTGTTACGAACACGTGCTGCCAGCACCGCAACAAATACTTGTTAACCTGGTACTCCAACGCGGTTATACGGCCAGTCAGATTGACTACATTTTAGTCAGATCAAAATTCAGTAGCTGAGTTCATGGTAGTCGGTCGCTGCGTGGTGCCGAGACGGGTACTGCCTATGGATCTGACCACGCTCTTGTTCGCACACGCTTCAAAGCTCACCTTTCATCTGCGCCCAAAATGCCACGAGCTAGAGGCCTCCATGTCACCAAAATTCTTTCCGCCATCTAAGAAAGATGACAGCAGAAAATGGGTTGAAATAGCAATCTCCATGAAGAAGGCCTCGAACGTTGGTGACACTCGAAAGCTCTACTTATTCTCCATGCTAGTGGTAAGATGTCTTCAATGAGCAACTCAGTTAGTGATGTGAATGGCGGCTTTATTACTGACAACGCGACCAAGGTCGAGCGCTGGCGTGAGCACTTCGAGCGCCTTCTCAACTTTTATACGGAGCCCACAACCCCGCTGCTTACATCTACAACAGAGCCTCCTCCATCTCTCACTTACCCAGTGACATGCGACCCGCCTTCTGAAGGAGAAATCGCTGATGCCATGAAAAGGCTGCGCAACAATAAGGCACCTGGAGAGGACGGAAAAGCCGTTGAAATCTACAAGTCTTGTGTTGGAACTCTGGTGCCTTGGCTCCATGAAGTGACCGGACAAGTGTGGAGAGACGAGGCTGTTCCTGATGACTGGGACTCAGGCATCCTTGTGCCTATCCACAAGAAGGGAAATAAGACAATATGTGAGAACTACCGCGGCATAAGCTACATGGAAATTGCTACGAAGATCTTCGCCATTGTTCTCCTCGGGCGGTTCCAGTCTGTGCGCGACTCCAGGACGCGGCCCAACCAGGCCGGATTTCGCGCTGGGCGTGGATGTGTGGATCAGTTGCTGTCATTTGGCACAAAAAGATCGTATGTGGCAACAGTTAAGAAAACCTCGGTCGGGTTTACATACGGTTGTTCAGCTTCTTGACCTTACATTAAGTCAAGTTTCGTATATATTCCGACGATGACGACGATCTTAAACTTCCCCCTCACTGACCATTTTTCAAGAAAAATAATGCTGGTCGTGGACGCATCGGCGACTAACACGGTACACTAAGGAAAAAAATCAAACTCTGATTTATCAAGAGTCCAAAGTATAAGTGCATGCGAACTTTGCCCTAAAATATCTAAAAAATGCGAGACTTTACGAACCATAAAGAAGTGTCCAGCGATGTCCGAAACTAAGAGGACAGTGAGTTGATCACTGTTTTTCGAAGATCGGTCCGTGTTACGGCAACTGTTTCGAAGGCAAGCCAGGCATCTTAAACGTCGATTCCACAGTCTGGCATAGAGATAATGGGCCTTGGCGCGGTTGAGAGTAGCCGCCTCTTTGTCAATGGCCATACACCACAAACCCGGAGTATCTTTCCAAACGTGACCAGCGGAGTCGTATTGCATTATAAACGAGATGATGTTTGCCGCAACCAAAGCTTCGGCTATTATGCAGACGATTCTGAGTACCAAACATATCTGAAATTAAAGTTTCAGGAGGCTTTTAGAAGAACTGCACTTTTGCAATATAAAAAATTGTGCATCAACTTGGCATGAAAAGCGTGAGAGAGGTAGTTAACTTAAAGATACCGTGCTCAACTGGATTTATTCGTGGATTTTAAATGACTGACTGTTGACATTGACTTAAACTTCTAAAACAAAAAGTGTCAATTTGAGAGGCGAGTTTTTCGTGTGCTATGCGGAGCTGCTTTGTTTGTCATGATGAACTTATTGGTGACCTACTTTAATTTTCCAACAAATTTCTAATGATCTAGAAGTCAGTAACTATGCTAATAGCTATTGGCCCCTAAAGTTGCGGATTTAAGTCTCCAAAACCAGACATTAAATAAGTAGATTAGATTCACTATAGCATTAAACCGAGCCCTTTTTACATAATCTGCAAGGGATAGTAATAATAACATCAGAAAATGCGACTGAAATCGTTTAAGTTAATCCAAATATGTAAAGAGTCTGGTCAGTAAGTTCAGCTTCGTGCAAGTAACAAATTCTTATATAAATAAGTCCATCCGAGCATGTAAAAAATATTTATATTGGTATCCGCGGGTAGCTGTGCCTAGCAAATGCTTGGACTACGCATGACTATTGAAAAGGTTAGGTTACAATTGAGTTGGGAGAAAAGAGCCTACTCTACGTATGTGGAATAAATTCGCGGTCTGCATAAACATATTAAGCATAAATTTCTTAAATAAACTTTACATTTGTTAGACATTCTTTGGATGTAGCTTCGAAGTAAATTATGGATGCGTAGATTCCTATTTCAATAAGCATCATAAAAAGGTGTGCATATAATATTTTCGCAACAGACGTCCGGCGAGAGACATCCGTAATTCCTCCGGAGGCGCTGGCAATTGCCAAAACGCATCGAAGAAGTAGTTGTAGGACTGATACTGCAAAGCCAGAGTAGGATAGGTACTAATAGAAGGTATAACAGAAAAGGCCAAATTGCTCACAGCCAGTGTTCTCGGTAAGCATGTCAAGCCATCACTGCAGAAGAGAATAAACGGAATAGCGGCGGATAAAGTACTGGCACGTAAGAAAATAATAATAACTTACAGAGCTAAACGCACGAAAATGATAAACACCGACGAAAAGACAAGGTCGTCGCTACTAAATAACCACCCTCGGCGAAATAAAATAATAGCCGGCATGACATAAAATTGTGGAAGTAAAATTAGACGCCCGACGGCAGGCGCTTCTCACACTAAGTAA